TGAGTTATTCTTTGTGTTCGGTGACCTAGCACTTGTGTGATTGATTCCTTGTCGGTTTAGTGATTCTCTCTCGTTTTCCCCGTGTTTCCCCTTTGTGCTTCCGCGTGTTCTTCGTGATTCCCCGTAGGATCCACTCCAAACGTGAAAGATCGGCCCCTAGGGTTCCACCCTACATCAACGTACTTGCTACACATTTCTTTTGACCAAAGATGAGATGGGATGTTGAGCGTTTTATTGCTCGCTGCACTATATGTCAAAAAGCTAAGTCACGACTCAATCCTCATGGTTTATATATGCCTTTGCATGTACCTAGTGTTCCTTGGGAGGATATATCTATGGACTTTGTTTTAGGTTTACCTCGAACAAAGAAGGGGAGGGATAGCATATTTGTTGTCGTGGATAGATTCTCGAAAATGGCACACTTTATACCATGTCATAAAAGCGATGATGCCGTTAATGTTGCTGATTTGTTCTTTCATGAAATTATTCGCTTGCATGGTGTGCCCAATACTATTGTTTCAGATCGTGATACTAAGTTTCTTAGCCACTTTTGGAGATGTTTATGGGCTAAATTGTGGACTAAACTGCTTTCTAGTACTACTTGTCACCCCCAAACTGATGGACAAACTGAAGTAGTCAATAGAACATTGTCTACTATGCTTAGGGCTGTTTTGAAGAATAATAAGAAAATGTGGGGAGAATGCTTGCTTCATATTGAATTTGCTTATAATCGTTCATTGCATTCTACTACTAAGATGTGCCCTTTTGAAATTGTGTATGGTTTCCTACCTCGTGTACCTATTGATTTGTTGCCTCTTCCATCTTCGGAGAAGGTTAATTTTGATGCTAAACAACATGCTGGATTGATTTTAAAAATGCATGAGTTAACTAAGGAAAACATTGAGCGTATGAATGCTAAATATAAACTTGCTGGAGATAAGGGTAGAAAACATCTTGTGTTTGCACATGGAGATCTTGTTTGGTTACATTTGCGTAAGGATAGATTTCCTGATTTGCGCAAATCAAAGTTAATGCCACGTGCTGATGATCCTTTTAAGGTGTTGGAGAAAATAAATGATAATGCATATAAACTTGAGCTGCCTGCAGATTTTGGGGTTAGTCCCACTTTTAACATTGCAGATTTGAAGCCTTATTTGGGTGAGGAAGATGAGCTTCCGCCGAGGACGACTTCATTTCAAGAAGGGGAGGATGATGAGGACATCAATACCATTGTTACACCCACAGCTCCTACTATTACATATACTGGACCAATTACTAGAGCTTGCGCATGCCAATTAAATTATCAGGTACTTTCGTTTCTTGGTAATGATTCTAATGTTCATGAGAATATGATGCTGCCTAAATTGGATACATTTGTTTTGCTTACAAATGAAGGGGCTAGCTTGGAGAATGATGAACATTGGAGTAAGAACAAGCATGGAGATGATGGCATGCGCAAGGGGAACAAGAACGGAGTTACAAGTGATGATTTCAGGATTTTGAAGCCACAATAATGAGTGCATGAAGCCTTGGACGAAATATACAAGATGCCACTTCATAAATTTCGTCCAGAGGCTATTCTAGGTGCTATGTCACCTTATTATTGGGCCAGGCCCATGTAATTTCGAAATACATAACTATAGGCTATTTTTGGAGTCCGTATGTGTGGGGAAACAAGAGATAGGGTTAGTTTCGGACCCCTCCACCAAGGGCCACGAAATTCACCCCCTCTTCCTCCATATATACAGCCCTTTGGGCACCGTTTAGACTTTGGGTTTTGTTTAGATTAAAGTTCGCCATAGCTGCAACTTCGCGTACTTCGTTTGTGTTCAACGACCAGACAAAGACGTCTCAGAACCCCACCTTGATCAATAAAGCTTTCATCTTATATTCACAATATCCATATTGCAATCTCAGTTTCTTGCTTGTTCTTCGTTTGCTTGTAGGAAACAGACCCTCGTGGTCAGGTTGATCATGCTCCGGTGTGGTCAATAACCTCTCGGAGTTGGTTTAGCGATTGCTAAGGCGCGACGTCCTCGCATGTTCGTAGTCGGATCGTCAAAGTAGATTTCCACCAAAGCGATATCCATCATCTCATCGAAAGACGGGACATCTTTGCCTCTATCATATTCACTCCTTCTACTCCTAGTGATGAGTATCTTGATGTGGAGGATAGTTATGTGGATGATGATATAGATGATCCTATGCTTGCTAAACTTAATAAGTTCATGTGGTCCCTCAAAGGAAAGAAGCTCACTATGTTTCGTATGCTTATGAAGATGGTGAGTAAGCACACCATCACCATTAAGGAACTCGAAACCCTCGTCACTGAGAAAAAGGAAAAATATGAACTCCTTGAGCGGAAAGTCCAATATAAGGAAGTACGAAATGATGAACTATGCTTGAAAATTGGTGCAAACATTGATGTTCATGCTAAAGATCTTGCCTCCTTGAAAAAGGCTAAGGACTCTTATGTAAAGTTGATGAATGATCAAAGTAAGCTTTTGAAGTCTCGTGCTTCTCTCTCTAAGGATTGTGAGCTCCTATTCGTGTCCCTCAAGACTAAGGAAGAAGAGGTCACCCTTCTTACAAAGAGTTTCGAGACGCTCAAGCTTACACTACTAGGAAAATGCTTATACATAGAAGTTTACCAGTAGTGTTTCTTTGGGCCCCCATGCTACTGGTAATTACCAGTAGCGCGTGGTACAAAGCGCGCTACTGGTAGGGCTTACCAGTAGCGTTGATTTCTTTTGGGCACGCTATTAGTAAATATATCTCGTGGACAGGACGTAGTAGTAGCGCATGTCGTAAAACCTGCACTATTACTAAGTGAAAAGCTATAACACAGGTGAGACACCCCACGCTACTACTACCCCGATCCACCCGCACCTCCGAATTC